TAGGAAACACTGTTAAGATGAAGCATTCTACTTGGGGAATAGGTTATTAAATTGTTTCTAGCAAAAGTGATCAATGAAATGCTACATTTAAAAATCAGTGAACTGTCTCAGGTGTGGCTTTTAGTAGGCAGAGGAGAGGAAACTCATATCCAAAGGAAGTCTGCTCATATAACCTGAGGAGTTTTACCTTCAGATCGAATTGTCTTTGGTGGCTTATGTTCCATCTCAGTTCATAGGTTTGTATTCTCTATAGCCTTGTTTGTTATAATGCAGAAATAATAATGGATTTTGGTTTATTTTCAATACCAAATATTCACACCCTAGAGACACTCCTGGAAACAGCCCTGGGCTCCTTTTGTGGCCTCTCATCCCCAGAGCAGCGAGGTGCAGGGGGTGGGCAACCCCAGCTTGTCAAGCAGCCATTTGGAGGTATCTCTAATGTACAAAGCAGGGATTGCAATCTTAATTTCATTTTAAAATGAAATATTTATTACATTTTAATACAAAGGAATTCAAAATGCAAACAATGAATGGCTGAGCATCTCCTTGGCCAGATAACCCTTGTGACATATAGAAAAATAACATCTTAGAAACAAAAGCCAATCAGGTCAGAAAACAAAATAAACAAAATGAACAAAATGAAAAATAAAAAGGACCTTTGCTCAATCCTGTTCAACAAATTTAATCATAGTTCGTATTTTTTACCCTTTTTATAAAAAATAGTGTTTTCTTACACATACCAGTGTATATGTATGTATGTGTGTAAATGTTTACACAATAGGAATGAGAAGTCATGCTTTATAATAAGAAATATATATTTGGTCTTCATCTCAGTTCCTGGCACAGAGATCCTAAAAGCCTTGGAATTTCCTAAGGGAAGAGAGCAGGCAATGGTGTTTATTGTTATTAATTAGGTGATTTTGGGGAAGCCCTAGCTAACCTAAGGATAGGACTGTTTGCAACGGGAACTAACCCGTGTTAGAGGTTTGGAACTTCTCCTTTGACTCCCAGACCTGTGGGGAGTAGAGAAGGGCTGGAGAGTGGGTTCAAGCACCAATTGCCGATGATTTCATCAGCAAAGTCTACGTAGTGAAACTCCAGAGGGAAGGGTTCCAAGAGCTTCCAGGTTGGTGAACACTTGCAGGTGCTGAGTGTGGTGCACTCAGAGAGGGCCTGAGAGCTCCATGCCCTGCCCCATGCCTTGCCCTGTGCCTCTCCCATCTGGCTGCTTGTGCGTTACAAAGCAGTCATCTAGTGAGGAAGCTGGTTTCCTGAGTTCTATGAGCTGCTCTGGCAAAATAATCAAACTCAAGGAGGGGTTGTGGGAACCTTTGATTTACAGCCAGTTGGCCAGAAGCACAGGTGACAACTTAGACTTGTGATTGACATCCAAAATGGGAGCACTCTTCTGGGGCTCACTAACTTCTGGGAGCTGACACTAGTTTCAGGTAGATAGTAGCAAATTGCATTGACTTGTAGCACACCCAGTTGGTGTCTGAGAATTGCTTTGTGGTGTGGACAAAACCATATTGAAGAAATAATACATGCTGTTTTGAAACTTGCTTTTTCACTTTAAATGTCAGTGTGCTTTCATATCAGTACAGGCAAATCATTCTCTTAGCTGCAGAGAATTCCCTGGTAACTGTAGATTTTTAACTAACTCTACTGCTTTTTAGCAGTGGTAGATTTTAAAACATTTATGTTATGCATATTTATGTAACTCTATCATAAAAGAAGGTAACAGGAAGCAAAATAGGATGCTAAAGAGATGCTTAGGTTGAGTGGGAGACTGAAGTCTGTCATTGTGTTGCTTGGTTGTGGCCTGGTCAGATTCAGTCTTGTGTCTTCCAGTCCTTGGATTCTGCCAGACACATGGAGTAACTTGGTACAAGAGGTAGACTTGGAATGTTTTTGGGAATTCTACTTATTTCAGCAATTCATAGCAAACATGTAGGAGCTTAGGATGAGCTTTAGCAGATTTCTTCCTTAGAAGACTTCAGTCTGGAGTGGGCAGGAAGGCAGATAGGTAGGTCATTTCATTGTGTGGTTGGTGCCATGGCAGAGGAAAGGCTCAAGATGTTGTAGCAGCAGGCATGGACATTGTCATCTTTTTGGAAGGACAATGGCCAAGCTGAGTTGCTAAGATCAGTAGTAGAGGAAAGAGAAAGACACTCCAGGCCAGGGAAGAAAGGTAAAAAGACACATGATGAGTTCGGGGAATCACAAGTAATTTAGTGTTATAAGGATATAAAATTTGAGGCTGGAAATGACATCTCTCTCCAGATGGAAATCTGTATATGGAGAGCTTTGTATATGATACTAAACAGCTGGGTATTCCTCACCAAGTCAAAAGATACACATGTCCCTTATACATCAATTAAATACTCTGAATATTTATCATCACTCTTCAGAACCCTGGAAAACATCATTCCTTTATATGCTACAAATGCAGGATTGAGCCAACTATTAGTTCAATTATCTATTAATTTTGAGCCCTACATTCTTGGGTTAATGTCTGATCTTACATGATTCTTCAGAGTACCCAAAGCTTTTGGGTACTGCTTGAGTAGGTCATTTCATTGTGTGGTCGGTGCTATGGCAGAGGAAAGGCTCAAGATGTTGTGGCAGCAGGCATGGACATTGTCATCTTTTTGGAAGGACAATGGCCAAGCTGAGTTGCTAAGATCAGTAGTAGAGGAAAGAGAAAGACACTCCAGGCCAGGGAAGAAAGGTAAAAAGACACATGATGAGTTCGGGGAATCACAAGTAATTTAGTGTTATAAGGATATAAGGATAAGGATATAAGGATAAGGATATAAGGATAAGGATATAACAGTGACTGCTTGAGCTCACTGCCTGGGAGGACCAAGTGATAGTGTAGGTTAGTGAGTTCAAATACATTACCTCTGTCAGAAACACAACTAGGAATAGTGAGCCTGCAGCATCTTGGAGTACTTAAGATATCATCACTGTCATCACCGTCATTTTATAAAATTTAGGAAGACAGCCAATCATATGAAATATATTTCTTGTGTTTGGATTTAAAAAGAGATCTGGATGGGGTATATGGCAATTTTAATAGTAATTGACATTTATTTTACTTGACTTCTGAGCCTTGGTTCTTCTAACCATCATGTTTTGTTTTGTTTGTTTTTTTGTTTATTTATAATATATTTTAATTGATTTTTAACAGAGAGGAAGGAAGAAGGATAGAGAGTTAGAAACACTGATGAGAGAGAAATACTAATCAGCTGCCCCTTGCCCACCTCCCACTTGGGATGCGCCCACAACCAAGGTATATGCCCTTGACTGGAATTGAACCTGGGACCATTCAATCCACAGGCTGACATTCTATCCACTGAGCCAAACCGGTTAGGGCTCTTTCTGTTTTTAATGCTAGGCAACACCATCAGTTGCTAGTTTAAGATTGGGGAAAGGCACTGGAAAGGAGTGAGTTTGGAAGAGAGGAGCTCAAAGAGGAAGGCCTCATTCTTTATTAAAAATAGAGATCAACCCATTGTAAGCCGAACATAGTACCTGGAAATAAATATTGTCTGTGGGGAGATGCATTTTTATAGAAGGGAAGGCAGTGTCCCAGTGTAGTTGATCTCACTACAGCCTATTTCTTTCTACCGTTTTACTTCTTTTCCTCCCCACATTAAACTTTTTTCCTGAATCATCCATAACGTAACTCCAGGAAGATACGTGTATGTTGCTCTCGTTTGCCATTGCTCCCTGCCCTGTTTTATTTTAGCCAAATCTTTGTTTCTTTCACTGCTCCCTGCACAACATGGAACACCATATGCCGTTGTCCCTGTCATGAAGCAGAGGGTTCCCTGGTCTGTGCCTATACCTATGTGTATGCTCAGAGGAGGTGTGGTTCAGTGCCATCTTTTATTGATGGGGCCAGCAAAGGAGAAATCTAATGAAATTATCAAAGCTTTGAATTAATTATGAACTTGAACAGGAGCGCTAAGCTCTCCGGAGCCAAGGATCTCATTACTCATGCACTCTCATCGCCTCCTCCTCTGGAGCAGAAGGCATGTCGGCTGCAGCTCCTAGCTCCTGGCTCTGGACTTTGTTCAAACTTGCTAAACTGGCATCGTCTTCGTACTACGAAGTGGCTGCAAATGTCCATGGTGATTAATATAATTCTGCTGTGGATCTTCAGGAAGTGTCAATAGGTTTCTCTACCCCTCCTTTTGCCTTTTATTATTATTTTCTTTCTTTCTTCGTTCTTTCCTCAAATTGGATGTTATACAAGTTCCTATCCTTTTTGAGTAATAGGAGAAGCTTTTAGGATTCAGGTGTAGCTTCAAGGAATACAGTGATTGATTGAAAGTTAAGAGCTGTGTTACATCTACTGTGTATTCCCTGGATATTTAGGTAAGCGAAGTCAAATATTTCTTCTTTAAATGTTGAACACCTAATAGAAGTGTTTCTTGCTTATTTCTACCTTAGAATTAATAGAATTGCAATAACTTCCATGGTCTTAAAACACTGTTCATAATTTTAATGTGTGTTGTATGGAGGCCACAGATCTCTCTGCTGTGTGTATCTCCAAGGACTTCGGCTCCCTGATAGAGAACAGTTAATGTTTTCTTAATATAATTCTGGTCTTTCACTTTCCAGTAATATGAAAATTTTTATGAATAAATCACCCTCTGATTGTTTTAACTTTAGTAGCAAAATCAATAACAACAAGGTTTCAATTTACTACTGGTGACAATTCTTTGGTACTGTCGTATAGGTTCAGAGCATCTCATGCACGCCTTTTCTGCTCACTTTTGGGACCCACTATTTATGAATTTCTAACTTGCAGCTCATCTATCTTAGTAAACAATAGGCTACTGGCAATTTTGTAAGCAGTGATTAACTTTGTTTTATAGGGTCAGTGTTTTAAGATTTTGAATGGTGGGGGGTGGGGCAACGAAAACCTTTGCTTTTGCTTTTTCTATTCATATTCAGCGAGTTTTTCCCCCCATTTGTTTTCTCTATAGGCAGCAGCAATATTTAATTCAGCCTTTGGAAGTTTTCTGGTAAGTAAACATGGTTTAACTTGTCTATTATAACTTTTGTTATATGAAAGATTTAGTGAAATTGGACTTCTTTTATTGTTTAGTTAAATATAACAGTGTTTTAATTTTTTTATGCTCCATTATTCATAATTGGGAGAAAATTAATTAATAAATAAGAAAAAATTTATCTTACAATATAATTGGGGACTTGGGTTTAATATTCCATGTAATGGATTCATGGAATCAATTAGAACACTATGGGTCTCCTTATAGAGGTTATGTCAATATATTGACCATTTAATGAGGTCTTTTAGATTATTATTATTTTGTATCATGGGAATGAGGATTTTGAAAAGGAAACATGACCCAGCTGGTCAGAAAGGGGATGCTAATTTACTTGTTGACATGCCATTTATTTTGTACATTCCATTGTCAAAGAAGCTACTATCTTGGTTTCTTCTGAGAAATCTATGTGAAAAAAAGTTGAAATGAGGAAATTAATGAGTAATTTGCAAGAAAATACAATATTTTTTGACAGGCAAACTACAATTCTATATAAAAATAGTTCAACTTTCATAAGTAGAACCAATATAATGATAAGGACAATACTATTTTATCATTTTTAATCATTATTTTTAAATAGATGATATAACAAAGACTTGTTATGAAAGAATGAGAAGGAAGTTGAATTTCCTATTAATTGAATATTTTTACTTATATCCTCCCTAAAACTATGCTGAATTCATGGAGATAAATTAGAAACTTTCTTTTTAGGAACATAACTTATTAGCAGATATGTAGTACAAATAATTGAGACTAGAACCAGTGGGGTGTAAACTGCTTCTGTATAAAATATCCTTGACTTATTGTATGTGTTTAAATGAAGTGAAAGCTTTTAAACATGTGATATGTTTAAATGTGTTAATTCTATATACTTCTATACAGATCTTAATGTTTCAGTGTTACAAAGCTTTTACTTACATAGCTTCTGCAAAATATGTTTAAAATACATCTTATGTTTTAAAAAATAGTAATGTTATTCCCAAAGCTGTATTATTACTGGGTTTTAGAAGAGAGATAATAGTGTCTACTTAATGAAAACAATATCATGAACTAGTTATTTTAGACACAATAATATTTAAGTAATTATTGCATGTATGGAACTATTATCTTCTATATGTTTTCACATCGACAGAATACCTTATTAAAGATGATCTTGCTAGAAGCCAATTTTTATTATATGGTTTGAAATCATATACATTCATTATGGAAACATGGTTTCCTAAGCTGAATCTCTTACTCTGTCAATGTCTAAGGTAATTAAGAAAGTGAGGTTGAGGCAATTGTCTGAGTAACTGAAGCAAAAGATGCTGTCCCTTATTTGGAAAACAAGCTCAGTAAGTACAGGCTAAGCTTTGCACTGGCCGTGTGCACAAGGAACAGTTCATGGTATTTGTTCTACAGGTACAATTTTTTGGTAAGTGAAGTCAAACTTGGCCTGGGGAATTTTCAGCTTTTTTTGTTATGTTTTCTTCTAAGAGTTTGTACATTCTCATTCCTTAGTCTTCTGCTCTTTTTCTTTCTTCATCTTCTATCTCACCTTAACGTAACTAATCAATCAAAAGCACTCATTGATGTCCTGCCACACAGAGGTAGTTCTCTGGAAGCTCTAGGCAGGGGTCCTCAAACTTTTTAAAGTGGGGGCCAGATCACGGTCCCTCAGAGAGCTGGAGGACCGGACAATATGAACTACTAATTCCTACTGTAACACCTCGGCTGCGCTTACTGCCCAAAAAACCTGGCGGGCCGGATCAGACTCCTCTGCGGGCAGCATGTGGCCCGCGGGCCGTAGTTTGAAGACGCCTGCGGGTGCAAAGAAATATGACCCAGGTCCCACTATGTCATGAAGATGACACATAGACAAAGAAATACAGTATAAAAGTTAAGAAGTCAAACAAAAGATGTTACTGTATGATAGATGGCTGTCAAATGTCAGAGGGCGAATGGACTCTGAATCCAAAGGTCAGATAGAAAGTTTCACTGAGCTGGGCCTCAAAGAATGGTAGGACCCAGCTGTGGAGAAGAGAGGAGAGGACGCACAGAGCAATGGCAGAGAGGCAGAGTGTGTTTTTCCCATTTTTCTTCCCACTTCATTTCCCTCCTTTTCCTTTCCCAAAGTTGAAAAGTACCAGAAAGGGTTTGAGAGTGAAAATTATGGTTTGGAGATGTGTTTGCTCAAATATTATAAAAGAAATAATTTATTTTTTCACCTTTTCCATCATAGTTACAATAAACCTTGGATTATAAAATATGTATGAGTCTGAACTAAATCAATTCGAGTTGGGTTCAGCTTATTTAACAAAAAAACAATAGCAGCTTATACAAGATAGAGGCTGTTTCTCTATTAGGTAACATCTGGAGGGAGGCTGACCACATGTGACAAACAGGCTGCATGGTCTCCTTGTGGACCCAGACGCCCATTTTCTTCCTCCACCCTCCGCAGCATGCAGTTCCCTTCCTCCAGGCTGCCTCCGGATCCAAGATCGCTGCTGGAGCTCCAGCCAAAACGATACCTGGGCAGCCAGGCAAAGAGTGCCCCTAAAAGTTAGGTCTGCTTTTTAAAACAGCGTTCCTAGAATTTCAGCACCATACTTGCAGTAATAGTTTATTGTAGAACCTAGTCATATGATTCTACCTAGCCACTGGAGGGGTTGGGACATGTGGCAATTTGCTGAGAGCTAACTTTTGGATTTCTATTACTAAGGAAGAAGAAAGTGGGTCTTAAGAGGCAACCAGCACTTTGAACACTATACAGCAGTTGTCAGGAGTGTGAAGAAAGAGATTAGTCTCAGATGAATGAGAAGAGAAGTCTTCAGGGAGAAGTTGATGTTTTTATTGGGCTTGGAAAAGGACTTATTTGAACTCCAAATTATAGCTTTCATGTTTTGTTATAATTTTGTTATTTTAAAAAAGGGTGGTGCATGTTAGGATTTGGGGAGAGTTTTCTTTATAAATAGAACATATCTACCTATTCTAAAAACTTAGTATAATGGGTGGTAGTATGGTTTCTGAGTCAGATTTGTCTGAATACTTGACTGAATACCAGCCTAACCATATAACCTTTCCTCTCTGTAAAATGGGATAATGATAGTACCTAAACTGTGCAGTGGTGAGGATTAAATGGGGTAAGATGTGGTAGAAATAAATGACCTAGGTTTTGTCCAAGCTCTGCCATGATTTTGGGTGTGCGTATCCATGAATATTCATATAATGAAGAAATCGGTTATCTCTGACTTCACTCCTGTGAGTGTTAAAATACATGGATCCAATTATTACTGTCTGGTTATGAGTGACCATTTTGTATTTACATAATGAAATCTGAAAATGGTACTTACTTCAGATTACATTAAAACTTTGAATGAAAGGCTTTTATTAGAAAAAATTTTGAGGAAAAACTCCGAGGGCATTCTTGTTGATTTTCAGACATCTGGGTATACCAAATAAAATATTGTACATATTTATAGCTAGTTTAATAATGTCCCAGGTCTAATTAAAACACAGTGTTTTAAAGCACTAATTGTTACAGAAAATCATCTTTTTAAAAAATGTAGCTAGGCTGGTAATAACCAATGGTAGATGAATTTAATTTACATAAAATTTCAGACCAAGAGAATATTTTAAAATCATGCCACAGAGGATTGCTTTAAGTTAAGAAGTTAATGTCATTATCTCCTCCTCTTATTTAAATTGTTTGCTTACAATAATTGTGGAGCATAATAAGTGTTTTGAGATTTTCCTTCATGGGATTTTAATAGAATTTGATATTCAACCACCCTGAATAACTAAATTGTTAACAAAATTATATACATATTTTCTATGTAAAACCGTCTACTTCAAGTTTAAACACCTGTGTTTCTTCCTAATCAAAAGGAAGATTAAAAAAAAAAAAAAAAAAAGGTATTAGCTACTTTTTGAAAAATTCAAGCTAAAAAATCCTTTCTTTAATTAAAAAAAATTTTTTTTTGAACTATGTTGGGAAAAACACTTTGGTCACATGATTTCTTAGACTTTTAGCATTTTGTCTGGAGGCTGAATTTGGTGTTTCTGTATCTTTAAGAATTATACCTTAAAGTTTAAAAGGAAAAGGCAGAACTACTTTTTTCTAGACTCCTCAGCCTAGTTTATTTTTGGTGACTCCTGCCTGACCTTAGAGGAAAACCCTAGCAATTCATGGCAACAGAAATGTAAGGATTTTGGAAACAGCTGCAGTTATAAACAAAGTCATCTTGTGAATGCAATAGAACCTAGCATAAAAGATCTTCGAGTCACTGTTTGCTTTCTAAATCTCTTCATTTAAAGTATTAAGAAATGTTTTTTTCTTTCTTTCTTTCTTTCTTTCTTTCTTTCTTTCTTTCTTTCTTTCTTTCTTTCTTTCTTTCTTTCTTTCTTTCTTTCTTTTTTATAACATAAATCTCCTCTTAAAATAGGCATTGCCGCAACCAGAAGAAGCTATTCTAAGATGACTAAATTTTGATTCTTTTCATGTGAGATCAAGTGTGAAAGGGACTCCTTGCATTGAGCTGAAGAACTAGCCAGCACATATTTTCATTCCCTTACCTAGTTCTTCTGTCTTCCCTCTTTGCTGTGGCTGGGCCGCCATTATCACCCAGCTTTGTAGAAAAATTTGAATAGTTTACTTAAGCTATTTTAGTTGCTGAAAGAAAGAAATCCCAAATACAAATGGCATGTTTTAAGAACTTGGGATGTATGTTTAGTAACTTCTTTATTTTTCCTTTCTTGGACAAAAATATACTCTGCCACCCTTAGCACGGTCAGAGAAGAAGCACATCTCCTTTGGTACTCGTTGATGGCTGAGCAGCACTGCTTTTGAAAAGCCAGAGCAAGATCTCAAATATTAACAGAGAGGGTTAGGGATGCTACCAGAGACGACTCGATGGTTCATTTGATTTTCCTGTAACCTAAATCTAGAATGTCAATTTTTAATTTAATTTATGTTTATA